GACGCTAAGGGTGCTGGTGGTAGTGGAGTTCCTCCAGGCACTGCCTGCAAACTGGCAAGAAATGCTAGGTGTCCTCGGGTTCTCTGGTAGCTCTGTGGCCAGGGACATTAAGTATTTTGTCCTGATTCTTCCCAGTTTTCTCCAAAGCTCTTCCGTTGTGCTATGTGGAGTGTCTATTTTCTTATTTTGGGACAATTAGGATAAAAGCCTTCATTGAGAACGTTTGCCCCCATAGTTTACCACCAACTAATCTTTCTGAAATAGAGGGTGTCTCTAGGACATGAGATGTGATCTTTAGGTCATGGCAATAATAGCCACTGAGACTCAGGTCGGCACTAAGGAAGAGTCTGCAGATCTGAGGGCTTTCAGCTACTGTGTCTAAATAGTCTTTCGTGTTGCCCTGCTCACCACCTGAGCACCAACAGATCTCAATTATGTCAGCAATCATGAAGCTCCAAGCTTGTACGTGGCTACTGACCAAGCTCTTCTGGGCCCAGAAATTCAGCTCTTCTCTTCTGAGCCTCAACAGTGCTCCTTTCTATAAATTCATTTTGGCGATGCCTTTGTCTCAGTCTCCTAGAGTCTGCTCATCCCTGTGCTTAGGGAAGGCCAGTTCAGCAAGCTGGGCACCCCTCACGATGCCATGCCCCCAGCTCCAGCTTGGCTCCTTACCTCTGCTCCAAAGGAACAGAAGATACAGGCGCTGGCCAGCCCCAGGGCCGGCTCCATCATGCCCCTGTGGAAGGGAAGCTTCGTCAATTGAAGATAAGCACCCTAAACAACTACAGTTACCACTTGTCTTAACTGTGTCTCAGCCACTTCACTGCTCCAAAGTGCAGTCTCCTTGCAACCTAGCTGTCTTGCACACAAAGAGCGAGCTAGTGCCTATGTCTCTGGCTGGAGTCATCTCATCTAAGTTGGCACACAGCCTTCAACCTGGGCCGTTGGTTTTAGGCTACCAGGGTGGGAGTTCTTCCCCAAGGGAGATATGTGTTCACAGAGCTCTTCCAGAAATGCTACCCCAGCGGTCTCAAAGCCATGGCAACCCCATTTTGTGCAGGGCAAACTGATTCATGTTAATTTGACATGGGATCTGGCAATGTAATAGTCAGGAAGCTCAAGCCCTCCCAACCCGTGGATTAGGGAAGCCACATGAATAGGAAAGATGTGAGGGAGAGGGAAGATAGTCATTTCTCACTACATGACCCCCCCCCCGAGTCCCACATATATGCAGGTGTGAGAGGTCTCCCTCCCCTTGGCTCACCACACACACACACACACACACACACACACACACACACACACACAGGGAGCCTTGCTATGACTCTGGGCCTCTTGCCTTTCCCTCCAATGAGTACAAATGTGTTACACTTACAGTAGAGTTCATTTGTTTATTCAACAAAATATTTGATGATCACCATGTCTAGGCCAAGCATGGCTCAAAATACTAGGGATATAAATAAAACAAATAAATTTCTTCTTCCACGGGCTTTACATTCTGGTGTGAGAAATAGACACTAAACAAAGACCTAAATAATATCTGTCCAGTGGTGATGTGTAACGTAAAATAAAAACAGAATAAGGGGTTGGAGTAGAAGTCAGGGAAGCGTGCTGTGAAGGTCAGAGGGCTGCAGGAGAGAGCCCTGCGGACCGATGGCAGAAACAGCAAGGGCCAGGACACTGGGCACCTGAAAGTTGGAGGAGCACTAGGGGGTTGGAGTGGGTACAGTGAACGAGGGAGCGTTAGCACAGGAGGAAGGTTGCTGAGGTAAGGAGGGCCTATCGGGCCTTGGTAGGGACTCAGACTTTTCCTCTGAGGAGTAGGAGAAGTGATCAGATGACTGATTCACATGTAGGCTTGATGTCGCTAATGCTGACAGGAGAATCGCTAGAGGGAGCCCAGATCAAGACAGGGTGACCAGGTAAGAGGCTATCTCAGAAATCCAGAGAAGAGAGGCTGGTGAACCCAGCCGTGGTGGGGCACACCTGTAATCCTAGCACTTGAGAGACTGAGGCAGGAGGAGTGCCATGAGTTCAAGGCAAGCCTGGGCTACATAGCAAGATCCTGTCTCAAAAAGACAGACAGACAGACAGGCAGGCAGGCAGGCAGATAGGCAGACAGTGTCAGTGATAGTGGCGATGTTGCAAACCACCATCTACCATCCATGGGCGCCCAGATGCTCCCAGGATAGTGCTCAGGAGTGCAGTTCTCACTTTCAAACTAGGTTTGCCCTGTGGCCAGTGCTCTTGACCATGACTACTGTCACCCCAGGTAGCCCCTCCAGAGTCCTCACCATTTTCCTGCTTGGCTTCTCCAGGTAAGTTCTCTACCAGAGGACTCAGTCTGTTTCTCCACCACAGCCTCCCCTTCCCTGGACCCCCACGCACTCAGGGCTCTGAGTCAGGCAGGATCCCTCCCATCCCATCATCCATCTCTGCCTCCTGGTCTGTTCCTCTCCAAAACTTCTTCCTACATATGTGACTTTCTCTCTGGAGTTGGAGCCCCTTCATCTGGCTCCCTGTAGGACCCTCATAGCTGTCATATGTACCTCAGTTGGAAGTTTGTGTTGTTATTTCTCCCATGTCTGTGTACCTAGTGGAAATTAAGGCTCTGATCTTCCATGGCCATGAAGACTTTTCCAGAATATTCCTCGACAGTTGAGCATATAAAACTTTTCTTAGGAGACTATGGCCTCAATCCACATGCAGACACTCTCCCCTCCATAAAGGCGAGCATTCCTGTTTTCAGTATGCTTTAAATACCAGTTTGGCTGACAATTTCTGGACAGGCTATGTAAGTCCCAGGCCACGGAGTATGAGTTCATGGTTCCAAGGTGGCCTGAGAATCAGCATTAGGACAGGAGAAACCACCTCAGCAGATTTGAGAAAACTGCTTTAAATGTAAGCAGAGTGTCCTACTCCTCCAGAGAGGTTCTCTTTTTCTTTAAGTGACCACCACAGATTCTAGATGCTAGGGCTGCTGAGCCTATCACACATGCTGGGTGTTCCAGAGCAACCCAGTCCTAGTGCATGAGGACCAGCCCCACGGTGCCGTGAGACTGAAGAAGGAGCAGATAGAGCCAAGACTGCAGAGAATGCAGTGTCCTGGGGGCTTCTTAACTGAAGCAGCAAGGCCGATTGGATCCCTGAGATTTGGGTCAGAATGGAAGGTATATTTATGGGTCAGGACAGAAGTGACTTCATTCTGGTTGGAATATACCTAGTTTATCTTAAACTATGAATCTATGAAAGATTCATGCACATGCCTGGAACCAGGTTCCAGTTGTAAAGCCCCACATACCGCTCTAATGGTTTGGGAGTTTTGTAGTTTTCTGGGAAACTATGCAGGAAAAACAGACTAGGGTTACTCTGGGTCAGTCAGGGCGGTTACAGCTCAAGATGACTACAGCCATGTCAAGCTGAATCCACACCCTGGGCTGTACAGAGTGTATTTGAGGGATGTGCTCTGGTCTCTGCCCTCCAAAATGCAGCCCCTATTTTGGTACAACAAGACAAAGTACTTAAAAGCATTTATAGAGCAGATACAAATAAATGTATGTGAATATTCCATAAACAGAGGGTGTGGGTAGCAGGCAAAGAGAGATGAAAAAGGCTATATTTGTAAAGGAGAGAGCATTAAAGGTTCCATGTTGGGAAGAGGTTCATGTTGACCTCCAAACTGTTGTCCCATCTACTTCTCTGAAAATGGAACCGTTGTCGGGGGGCAGGGGTTGGGCAGCTGTGGAGCTGCTGTGGAGTGGTCCCTATGCCATCCATTTGAGCAGCAAAATCAGCTCCCTGTGAGGACTGGAGATGAGCTGGCCATCTCTTAGGCACAGGGAAGCAAAATGGTAGCCTGGAGGACAGGCAGCCAGAGGCTGAGCTGCAGGGAGAGGAGGTCTTTCTGTTCTTTCACTTGCTCCCACGGGTGACTGATCCCTTTCGCTACAGTGTATTTCCTGATGCAGAAGTGACCCTCACACAGGTGCCCATGCCACATTCAGCAGTTGTTCGTAGGCCTCCCCACCCCTTTTCCAAGAGAAAGGGATTTCCACCAGGTTACAATGAGGGGCCTCTGTATTTACAGTGAAAGACTCAGTGATCATAGGAGCAGGGACCCTTCCTCGGGACCCTACCAAAAGTCAACCTCTGCCCAGGACAGAACTCCCCACCCCACTCCCAGAGAGTGCTTGCTTTGAGCTATCCCCAGGGAGTGTGATAGGTCTGGTGTAATCCAGGATGTCTCAGATTTGCTTGCTTATCCGAATCTTGTGGAATGCTTGTTAAAATTTCAGATATCTGGGTACCCAACTACCACTACTGAATCAGAATTTCCAAAGGAATCACTTTCTAAACACTAGTCCATAGGACAGGGTAACCCCACTAAGCCGTGTACTGCCCTTACCCATGGGAGACCTAACGTATCCCTCTGCTGGACAGCTGCTGCTGGACTGGGCCCACATTGGCATTCTTGAGGAGAAAAACTTTTTTTTCTGTTCAAAAACCAACAGTGATGATAACAATAATGACTAATCTTTATCAATTGTGTACAGGGCACTATATTTGGGGCAGGGGGGACCAGATTATCTCATGCAATCTTCCCAGTAACATAATGAAGTATATGCTGTTATCTATAATTTTTTTCAGATGAAAATGCAGAAAAGAAGGGAGCTAGGTGGCTAATCAAAAGGCACACACAGCCAGCAGCTTGCAGGGCCGGATGGGAAGTCAAGCTTCCAACCCCTTAGCCCCATCTCTTCACATTAGTTATACATTACTGATCCTGGGACCTGAATTTACTAGCTTCACACTCTAATTGTGAGTGCAGCTCACACCACCAGCAGTCCAGTTCATACCATCACCCTGCCCCCAGGAAAGGGAGAGGCAGCAGATAGTGGAGCTAGCTAGCTTCGTCTTAGAACTCGCAGTGGGCGCGTGGATTCAGAGCAAGGGAAGGAGGGCAGAGGAAAGGAGATTGACCTCCCCTGTTTGGTCCTCAGGTACTGGAACTCCTTAAGCAACCTGGTAGCATCCTTGCTGAACTCTGTGCGCTCCATCGCCTCCCTGCTCCTACTCCTCTTCCTCTTTATCATCATCTTCTCCCTGCTGGGAATGCAGCTCTTTGGAGGAAAGTTCAACTTTGATGAGATGCAGACCCGGAGGAGCACATTCGATAACTTCCCCCAGTCCCTCCTCACTGTGTTTCAGGTATGGACTCTTCTCTGCTGGCCTTCTGACTAGAAGGGTGGTTCAGTGGTGAAGGTGGTAGGGGAGGAAGAAGGAGCATCAAAGAGGGTGGGAAGAATCACCGTTTCCCTGGGCACAAGGCCAGCCTGGACCAGCCCTGGAGGATCCATGCCTTGGGGAGTCTCAGCTCTTTCTGTAGGTTCTCCTCCCTAGGTCCGTGCGGTACTCCACTAGCAGGTCAGCCATTGGGAAAAAATCTAACTGAGTAGTTTTTAAATGTTTTCTTAGCTATGAAACCCGTTAATCAAATAAATTCTATATGAAAGCCCAAAACAGAAACAAAGAAAAGCAAAACAGGGTGAGGGTTCATCATGGAGCTCTGACTTTCCCACCATGCTTGCCTTGAAAAAGACATAAGTAGCCCACAAAGTTGATTGTATAGATATTTTGATTTTTGGCAAAGCTAAAATAGCATTTATTTAAGTTTAAAAGTAGATTGGTTAAAAAAAATAAAAATTAAAATTAAAAAGTAGATTGGTTTATAGAGGAAATTGAATACTATGTGGATGTTTTAAAGTTTTAAAGATGGCGCCCAAGTGACTGATGTTTAGGAAAAAGTAGAGTAGCCTAATACTGTCCCCAGGACATATTCACAATTGTGAGGGGCCCTGATGCCTTCCCCCAAGGAAGTTTGGTCCTTCTGTGCACTGTATGTGGACAGTAGGAGGTATTTTGACCAGAAAACCCTTTCGGTCCCTCAGATAATATTTACCAGTGGCCACACACTTTGTCTAGAGTGCCCAGGTCAATATCCCGCAAACCCCTGGGGAGGAGAGTTAGGGCCTAGGAGGAGGGAGAGTAGTGGCAAGGAGATTTGGGGCATTTGTGTTAACATAGCGGGGCAGGGCAGGGGACTTTTGGGTTTGCTGTTGGTCTAACGCTGTGTCCCTTATTGGTGGGAATGTGTCATTCAGATCCTGACCGGGGAGGACTGGAATTCGGTGATGTATGATGGGATCATGGCTTATGGCGGCCCCTCTTTTCCAGGGATGTTAGTCTGTATTTACTTCATCATCCTCTTCATCTGTGGAAATTGTATCCTTTGCTGCTGCCCCCAACCCTGATGCCCCTACACGCAGCCTGCAGCGCAATGCCAAATAGGTGTTCCTGGAGGGCCTGGCCCCGGGGCACCCCCAGGAGAGCCAGGGAGGCTGTCCTGGGGAGAAGATATGGCCCAGCTTAGAACCACTTCCGCTGTGGGTGGGTTGGGGTGGAAACTTGCACTTTGGCATAGGTGGGGTTGTATATTCGCATTCCAGAATCTTTTCAGGTGCAGTGCTGCCTGACGCCAGGAAGTGTATTCTAATCATAACCTAGGTGAATGGCGCCCCCTGGCTTGTGACATGCGCAACCACTCATTGTAGACTATGATGTGAACACAATTGGAGATTGGGCCCTGGGGCCCCTGGAGCTGTTGCACCTGCTCAGAGATAGGATGCTCAGTGAAGGAGGACTGAGCCTTCACCCTGGAAATGTCCTTCATCTCTCCTTGCATTTTGGTCAGTGTCTCTCCCCTTGAAACTATTCTCTGAGACTTTAGTTACAGGGAGAGCTAGATGGGTCAACAAGCTGACCTAAGAGATCCTTTCTGATCCAGGCTATGAGCAAGACCCCAGGAGGGTCTCAAGCCCACGTCCTTTCTTCCCTGGCATCCCAGCTCCGTGAGAGTCCAGAGGCTAGGCGGTACAGCAGAAATAGCTCTGGTCCAAAACTCGGGGATTAAATCCCAGTTTATGATGGTTCAGAAAACACAAACTGAAACCTGCAAATAGGGCTTCCCATTTTACTGGCTGAGTGACCTGCAGCAAATTAAAGGCTGTCTACCTCAGTATCTGGGAAATGTGGTTCAGTCTAAGCATCTTTAATATGAAATCTGAAATGCTCCAAAATCTGAAACATTTTGAGCAATGACATAACACTGCAAATGGAAAATTCCACACTGTGAATATTTGTTTGTTGCATAGACTATTTAAAATATTATAGAAACTGGCCTTCAAGATATAAGGTGTGTAGGAAACATAATTGAGTTTTGTCTTTAGACTTGGGTCCCATCCCCAAGATATCTCATTATGCAAATGTAAATATTCTAAAAATCTGAAAAATATGAAGTCTAAATTACTTCTGGTTCCAAACATTTTGGATGAAGGATACTCAGCCTGTAACAGAAGAATAGTAACTACTATTTAAAGGGTCACTGTGAGTTTGAGTAGAAAATGCATGCAAATCTCCTACCATGTTCCAGGGCCTCCTTTGGCAAGCCCTGCCTGGCCTAGGTTTCTCCTTCCCTGCATGAGAAATGGTGTGAATTTCTGAGTACCCTGAGTGGTGGTCATGCTTAACAAACGTTAAGGCCCTTCTAGCTATACCTTCTCTGTTCTGCAATTCTCTGACCCACTGTGTTTCTGTAGGTGGGGAAGCGGGGCAGGGAGAAACAGCTAAATGGCTGCCTCCCTGAGGAATTCCCAAGCACTGCCCACCTCAGCCAGACCCTCCAGGAGCCTTTGTATGCGTGGTTCACATTGAGTTGGCAGCAACACCGTGCCACCCCCTCAACGCCCAGTTACATGAACAGCTCTTAAGAGATTTCTGCATTCTGCTTGAGACAACGCTATGTATAATGTCAGTTACAGGCAGTCATCTCAGTGGGGAAACCAATAATGAAACCCAGCAATTAAAGAGCAAGGCAGGGCCCACTGCCTCACCCTGCCTGCTCTAGACTACAAGCTAGGCTGGTCTGTACCACTTAGAAAACTTCAGGGGTGGGGAGAGGGATGGGGAAAGAAGGGTGGGGGAAGGGACGCTGTTGGGCTCTGAACTTAACGTGAGTCTCTGCTGGGGAATTCTACCCCTCCGTGTCCTGCACCTTCCCTGCCCCGTGCCCATCAAACACCCCAAGGCTGAGGTCATTTTCTTTAAGAATGGACACAAACAGATATCCTACTGAATGTGTTCTTGGCCATTGCTGTGGACAACCTGGCTGATGCTGAGAGCCTCACTTCTGCCCAAAAGGAGGAAGAAGAAGAGAAGGAGAGAAAGAAGCTGGCCAGGTAACCCTCTAAGCTCACCTGGGCCCAGTTCTGGAATGCCATTCCCACGGGAAGAGAGGCTTGGCACCACCCCCAGGTGGCCGTCTCTCCTGAGAGGGCATGGCTCGGGGCTTCCTACAGTAGCCTGAGCCTCTCCTGACTCCCAGCCATGGCCCTGAAACAGGGGCCATCGTGAATGATCATCTCTGCAAGGGCGTTGCACCTTTCTAGGAAGGTGGGGGCTCTCCTTTGAGAAGAACTGGGGAAATCCAGTTCCAGCCTCAGGAGTGATGCTTCCTCAGTGTTATGCACCATCTTCAGTACTGGGAATGCAAGGCAGGGCCCTAAATCCTGCCCTCCTTGTTGTCTAGCTGGGGCTGTAATACCTCAAGCCTCTGCTGGGTACCAGGCAATGTCCCCCCAGGAACCAATCTAAAATGAGATCCAGAACCATCATCACATTCAAGCCCTGAGTTAGCTGAGGAACTGGAAGAGGCCAGCCAAGTCCCAGATGGCCAGGGTGGCCCAGCCCGGGCACCTGGGGTTACGCTGTGCATATAATGTCCCCAAGCAAAGGATAGTAGATGGAGACCCTAGGAATCTGCTCTCCCTCCCTGCTACAGACTGGGGCCACTTCTCATCTACACTGTCCTCTCTCACTCCAGTGAACATCCATTTCTATTTTTTCTCCTGCTGACCGGCCAGGACTGCCAGCCCAGAGAAGAAACAGGAGGCAGTGGAGAAGCCAGCAGTGGAGGAGACCAAGGAGGAGAAAATTGAGCTGAAATCCATTACTGCTGATGGGGAGTCCCCACCCACCAAGGTGAGTAGCTGCCTCCTTCCAAGAGCTGTGGGGCCACTGCTGAGGAACGAAGGCCAGAGTCTGGCAGGTGAGTCACCCACGGAAAGGAGAAAGAAGGACAGACACTCAGGGGAGGCAGAGGCTGTGGGTGTGGGGTGGGTAGATGGGGAATGGAAGGGAAGGTGACTTGGCTGAGTTCCAGCCTTCTACTGATGACCTCAAGGGATCCTGCAGAGTGACAGGGGTATAGTTTTGAGCTCAGCTACTGAATATAATGTGATTTGAAGGCCACTCTGGGGCCCTAAATCTGTGGCCTGTATCTGACTGCATTCTTCCTCCTCTCCTTGGCTGCCTAGATCAACGTGGATGACCTCCAGCACAATGAAAATGAGGACAAGAGTCCCTACCCCAACCCAGACGCTGCAGGTACCACTTGCCTTTGAGACTGGGAGGCTGAGGATAGAAGCTCATGTCCTGCTGCCACGGGAAAATGCCCATGTGTGAAGGGCCATTGGGTCCAGTTTCCCTCTGCAATTACCTTGCACTGCTCAATGTCCCATTTCTGCATTTAAGCATTACAGCCACCATTGAGGGGAAAACTTTTTTTCTGATTTCCTCATGATATTATCAGGTGAAATAAGATCATGTTTGAGCAGTGCTGTTTTAAATTTTTTAATTATTTTTATTTATTTTTTAAAATTATTAATTAAATATAAAAATTTATGGGGTATCATCCGATCCACGTGTACAGTGTATAATGATCAAATCAGAGTAACATCACCACTTCTAACCATTTTTTATATTTTTTAATTGACATGTAATAATTATATATACAGTATTTATGGGGCCCAGTGTGATATTTCGATACAAATGCAGGGTGTGCTGATCAAATCAAGATAATTAACATTTCCATCTCCTCATCACTACTTTGTGTTTGGAGCTGTCAAACTCCTCACTTCTATTTGTTCATAAAATATTTACTGTTATGAACTGTGGTTCCCCCCACACACACACACACACTGCCCTATAGAATGCTTTTGTTTGCAGACAATTTGGTTCACAAATAGAAGTGTTTGGCAAAATTTTGTTTTTGTTTGCAAATGCTGCATCAGGTAACAAATATGACCATGGCCATCTTTCCCACACAAACTCAAACATGGCCATTATTCCCAAAATCGTAGAACAAATTAAGTTCATGAACCAAGGTACCACTGTATAGCATATGTGGCAGCACTATGCTTGCCAAATAATAATACGAAACCCTAAATCTATCTTGCCCTACTCAGGAGGCATTGCCGAATACAAGAACAGCTGCCACCACAGATGTCCTGATTGTTGCTCCATAAAATGCTTTCAGATCTCTTATCATAAAGAACTCTCACTAACATGGGCTTCTTGTGCACCTATCTGACGTGTGAATTGCCAGGCAGGCTTCTCTCAGAGGTTTCAACGTCAGAATCCTTGGTCGCCCGCCTCCCCATGACCAGGGCCCTCTCACTTCCCTTCGCTCAGTCCCCTGGAGCCTTGGGCTTACCTTCCTCCAAGCTAGAGCCACAGATTCATCACCAGCTTCGAGATGGAAGTCAATACACCCACCAAGGGACTGTGGAGCTTACTCACTTTTCCTTCTTGGTTCAGGCCAGGCTGTATTGGTGTTGGTGACCAAGTTAGGCAGCTGAAACCCTTCTGCAATCCTGAGCAGAACTGGGTTTTCCTTGTTGCTTTCCCTTTGCTGATTCTCACTGAGTTGGCAAGGACACTAAAGGTGTCTTCTGTTGTCTCTAAAAGCAGCATCGATAATCATGACCCTCACTTCTCTCCCCCTGCTGGGGAAAGAAGACTTGGTTTCCTGGAGCTTAGACAAAGAAAAGCAGAGCATTTCCAGGTTGAGATGGAGCCTTTTGAAGTTTTAAAACCCTTAGGGCTGAAGCTGTCACAGAATTTCAAAGACTTGCTAGTAATATTGACCAAATGCGATGGGGGATCTTGTCTGGATCCTTGATAAACAAAAATGAATGAATGATTTTGAGTGATATCTATTAATCATGTTGGTATGATAGTTTTATGGTAATTCTGTTCTTAAAATGCTGAAGTATTTATGGCTGGAGTCTGAAATATTCCAAAGTTGCTTTTAAGGTATTCCAGCAACCCCAAAGAACGGGGACAGAGGAAATAAGGGGAACATGATGAGCAATATGGCAAAGAGGTTGAAACCAAGTATAGAGAGGTTCACTGTCTTCCTATTCTTGTGCATGTTTTAAAAGTTAAAAGAGAAAAAGAGTCATAGAACAAATTCCCCTGGGCCCTGAGAAGAGCCCGTCCCAAGCTGGCCTGGTCTCCAGGATGCAGTGTCCCTGTGCCCAGCGGGGACAGATCTGGGGGAACAGGTCTGGGGGGACAGATCTGGATCTGAGGGTCTCATCACACACACACCCAGATGCCGTCAGGCCTGGAGCAGTACGTTCCATACGGCGGCAGGATGACAAACCTCTTGCCTCTGTGACAATAGTCTCAAATTCTGTGTTTCTGAATAGACTCCTGGCTTTTCTTTGTTGCTCTCATGATGTCATAGAGGAAATATCAAGGACCAAAAACTAATTAACAAGGACATTGTCACCATGCAGGGTGTCATAGACATTTCTGTTGATCCAGCATGTCACCATCTGGTGGCTTTGAGGATTCTTGTGATGCTTATGGTTTGGAACCGAAAAGCTGTTCCCACACTCTGCTAATTCTTCTTTTTGGAGCTTGTTCTTTTGCCTGATCATGGAGCCACCTTCTTGAACCTCCTGCTGACCCCTGCCTTCATTTCTCTTGGTTCTAACCATGTTTTTATCTTTTGTTAGTCAGCTTTCCATTGCTGTGACAAAACACCTGAGATACTCAACTTACAAGGAGGAAATGTTTACTTTGGCTCACAGTTTCAGATATTTTATCCTGTGGTCAGTTGGCATCACTGCTTTGGGCCTGTGGTGAGGCAGCACATGGTAGCAGAAATATGTGTAGAGGAAGCTGCTCACCTCATGGAAGCCAGGAAATAGAAAAGAGGAAGGCCCATAGTCCCCATATGCCCTTCCAGGGCACACCCCACCTTCTAAAACTTCCAAAACCCCCCCACAGCACTACAGGCTGAGGACCACGTCTTCACCACATGGGCCTTTGGGAGACAGTCCAGATCCAACCATAGCACCTTTGTTTTGAGACCTCTGGCCTCATCCCACTACCAACCCCACCCAGGTCTTTCAAGCCAGTCCCCAAGGACGCTGTTTGTTCACCATGTTTCCATTCTCTACCCACGAGGCCTTCAAGGATGGCATGCTCCTAAACCTGGTGGCTGCACATTCCCCCTGGCCCCTAGAGGCCCAGTCAGCCTATCTTCCAGCTATTCCTCCCCTCCCTCTCCTCCCTGTCTTCCTCCGCAGGTGGTTCCTGGATCCTTAGTGCCAGAGGCAACAGAAGCTCTTACAGACACCTCTGCTGGTCCCTCAGCAGGTAGTCTCTATTCTGGAAGGCTCTCCTTCCCACTGCTTCTGTTCTGAATGGTGAAAGGCAAAAAGCCTGGTCCACCACCATCCCTCCACCATCGGCAACCACAGCCGCTTCTGCTTTCAAAGCCCCTGGCTGCTGGCCGTTGCTACACTCAGTCACACAGATGACCTAGAAGGGAGCCTCAGCCAGGGCTCTAGAGAGGAAAGGCCAGGGCGCCTCCATGCTGTCCTCCTGCTCATTCTCCCTTCCTTCCTCTCCCCATCACTGGACCTACAGTGTTTGCTTGTCTTGCTGTCCCCAAAAGCACGTGATGCACTGGCTGAGTGAGAACTGGACTCCAGCCCTCGGTGACTGAACACCCAGAGAAGGGCCTGTTTCTGAATCGCCCTAAGGGGCTCTAGCACCTAATGGTGGCCCTGGAGTTCTCTCCTCTGTCCCGTCTCAAAAGCTGGCCGGCTGGTTGTCACCTCCAAGATTAGCCTACATTCATACACTACTGCAGGTTGGGTATCCTTTGTCTGAAGTGCTGGGGAATGAAAGAGTTTCATATTTTGGAGGTTTGGGCATTTGGGAATATTTGCATAGGTTTTAGCTGTTGCGCATCCCTAATTCAAAACTGTAAAATCTGAAATGCTTCAAAACCCAAAATTTATTGAGTATCACATGCTCAAAAGGAGTCAGATATCAGAATATTTCCACTTTTCAGATTAGGGATGCTCAACCTGTAATAGAAACATCTGCTCATCCAAGAAGAAAAGCATCATGCCAAATAGATAATTCTTCTATCAATTTATCAGTTTATTTCAATGAATGTTCCTAACAGCCACCAAGGACTTCAAATGCTTGAACACCTTTATTTTAAAGTGAGTGACCCCAGGGGTAAGTTCCTTCCGGGTCACTGGCCTATGCGTCTGCGCCGCAGGGCGAACTCCTCCGTCTCCCCTGTGGCCTTTCCACTGCACCTGGTGCAGGCTGGTGGATTCCAGCGATGAGCTCCCAGAAAAGCAGTGTGACTCGTTCCAGGCCACAGAAGCACCAGAATACGTTTAGCTTCAAAAATGACGAGTTTGACAAGAGTGTTCAGACTGAGATGTCATTTGTTAAGGATTCCATCAGTAATGAGAGAAATGGGAAGAAGAAATCAAATATTATTTGTTGACTTCTAGGAAAATTTTATGTTAAAATTAATGCTAAACTTCATGATGGAGTATGTCAGCATTGTAAAGAAGTTCTTGAATGGTGGGTAAAATACAGCCAATATAAACCATTATCAAAACCTAAAAAATGCATTAAATGTTTGCAGAAGACCGTGAAGGAGTCTTACACATAATGTGTAGACCATGCGCCTATGAACTTGAAGTCTGTGTGAAAGTGGAAAGAAAGAAGACGCTGTTGTTCCATTTAATAAAGAACCAGAAAAGACAGAAACCACTGAAAATAATCAAAGATCCAATCATAGAAGAAGCTGCAAAAGGAATGAAGAAAGTGATGATGACTTAGATTTTGATAGTGATTTAGATGACACAGGTGAAAATCAAGTGGATTAATGTAAAGTACATTAAAAGTCAGTCTAGGAATGTGAAATTCTGATCACTTTTTGCCTTTGACAGTGTCACACAAAAATACTGTTAAATCCCAATGAAGAAGTCAGAAAAAGCTATAGAAAATAGGCAAAAGTCACATATGAACAATATGAATTAGGCATGATATTTACATAATTGTAAAACTTTTATCTAGAGTTGTCTTAAAATTTTAAGTTGCATATACTAGGATACCTGCCAAAAAGCAGATAAAATCATGGTGTCGTGCTGCAGTTCATGGGAATTACTTAGAAGAATGTATTACTCAATACCAAATTTAGTAAGATTCAGAATTCGTGCTTGTATAAGAACTATCTAAACCAAGTGAGATGGCACATGCCTATAATCCCAGCACTC